GAATTCAATTGGGAATTCGATTGTGATCTCAATAGAAATTTTTCAGTAGGATAGGCACGTAATGTTATTGTTTTTAAGGATGCGCAACCTACCGGCGAGCTGATACGTCGTCTTGATAATGTTTTATTCAATCATATAATAATATATACTATATAATATTAACCATACATCTGTACTATATCGCAATATTTAATTATCAAATACATGTATCAATTGCACTTGTCACGTTGTCGTATATCATACTACTGATTGTCAAGTTCTAGAATATTCGCATTTGCGTTATTTGACATTTATTATTTCTATCGACCATTTCTGATATTTTCATAAAAGGTTAGATGACGAGAAATATAATGAAATTGTATAAACTTACTGTAGAGATGATCCTCCTCCGACTGCATTGAGCGTTTCGATCCGACATCGCATCCTTCTGCCCGATCTGAAATAAAACGCAATGATTGTTTAAAAATTTCACAAATGAAGAATTTCTTACATATTCGTTTCAAATTTGTGACAAATAAAAACGAACCTTACTCATCTCTTGGATTTCGTGATTGTTGATGATTACCTTCGATTGTTGACGATAATTTCAGAATCAAAATCGTAGCTCCAATTTCGTAAATTATCACTACAGAAACTTGAATACACTTGACAAAGCCGGGAATGACGCTAAACGTCGCTTCAAATATGTTGTTACTTGCAAAACGGACTACAGCTTCGAACAGGCGCGGTATCAAAATATCTGGCAGGCTGATTGGCGCCATCTAATAGCATCGTGAGGAAAGAGAACTGACTGTAACTTTAGACCCGCTATTTTTAAACTCGTATATTTAGACCCGATATCTTCATGAAATATAAAGTCTTAATTAATATATTTTGTATTATTAAATACCTTTTCTCTGCAGCTAAATATCACCGATTTGAAAATATTTAAAATATTATTGACTTTTCGGCAAACCTTTAATAACATTTTAATATAAAAGTAATCGAAAATCGCTTCACCGATATCTCTATCGCAAATTGAAAAGTGCCATCAACTGAGATATAATAATTAAAGTGCCCTTGCCGTGCCCACAATAAAACTTTATGACAGTGTCCAGCTTTCGTAAAAATAAACTGTTTTAATTATTCTTAATATCTCAAAATCTGTTTCAGTTCTGAATATTTACAGAAGCATCTAAATTTTGACCTGGGTAAGTAGAATAAATTTGCCAGATACGCGTAAATTTCATACAATTACTTGATCATACAATTAATTGATCATCATTCTAGTCGCTAATTTGTACTATTTGCCATTTATTATTTCTACCGGCTATTTCTGATATTCTCGTTAGGTAAAGAGATGTAACGATTTTATATAAACTCACTGATGACTCTCCTTTAACTAAATCGGGAGTTTCAATCTAACATCGCGTCCTTCTGCCCAATCTGGAACGAAATAAAATGATTGTTACAAAATTTCAAAAATGGAAAATTCGCTCGAACAAGATCGGCTACATGTTCGTTTCAAATTTGCGATAAATAAAAACGCGCGTTGCTCACCTTTTAAATCTCGTAATACTCCGATTGTTAACGATGATCTCGGAATCAAGATCACGACAGCGATTCTGTAAATAATTGTTACAGAAGCTTCGACAAATCTGAGAAAGTCGGGAATGGCGCCAAACATCGTTTGACATGCGTTGTTACTTGCAAAATGAACTACTTTAGCTTCGTGTTCAGACACGGTATCTAGCAGACTGCCTGGCGCCATCTAACAGCATCGTGCAGAAAGAGTGTCGACTATAACTTTAGACCCGTTAATCTTAAACTCTATATATTTTGACCCAATATTTTTTTAATTATAAAATCTGAATTTATAACGGCATTTTTTATTTCTGAATGCGCTTCTTGCTGCTGAATAGCAACAAATTGAAAATACTTGAAAATTATTGATTTTCGGCAGTCTTTTAATAATCCTTTAGTAGAAAACAATCGAAAATCGACACACTGATGTCGTTTGTTCATATTGCAAATCGCAAGGTGTCATCTACTAAGATTTAATAATTAAAATACTTTCGTCGTACTCATTAGAAAATTTGATAAGATCGCTTTTATAAGCTTTTATAAAAATAAACTTAATTATTCTTAATAAATATTCTTAATATTTCGAAATCTACATTTCGCGATAATACTAGAACAAAAATTGCCAATATGACGTATCAAAATTAATCTATCAAATAATGAAGACTTTTAAAAGCATCTTAATTTCGATCGGGAGATAAGCAGAATTAATTTGATACGTTCTCGTACATCTCATATAATCGATGCTCACCTCTTGAATCTCGCGAGACTCCGATTATTTACGATGGTCTCAGGATCAAAATCGTGTCACCAAATGCGCAAATTATCGTTGCAAAAGCATGAAGAAACTTAAGTTAGGAATGGCGCGAATTGTCCCTTGTAGTATATCGCTACTTGCAGAATGAACGATACAGCTCCTTGTTCAAATACGTTTAACAGATTGTGTGGCGCCATCTAACCGAGTTGGAAAGAGTTCTTGCGTGTTCCAAATAACCCGCTATTTTTAAATCCTAATAATAATAATTTTGTAACTTTTTTATGATTTATAGGAAACGTATGAACGAATTCTTCATAGATAACACTTCGCTGTTCGAAAAATTAATTTTGATACATCGTATTGGCAATTTTCGTTCTAATATCATCACGAAATGTGATAATTTTGAGATATTAAGATAATAGATGACATAAAACTTAAAATTTACTCTTTTAAATATATTCTATTTTTTGTAGAAATATATTTATGATATAAAGACTCAGTCAGAAAGAATCCGGAACAGTTTGAAAATAACAGGTCAGATAATCTTTGGTTAATCTGATAATAATTCAAGCAAAGTTTGATTAATTTGATAAGATCAGTCTTAATTAAACATGATTAAAATCTTGCCTAAATATTTATTTTACTATGTATATGAGAATGTACTAATTGAGAATTATATATTATAATACATGATTTTTGTTTTTATAAGAACTATGGTTCTAAAAACTTTTATATATATATATATATATATATATATATATATATATATATATATATACATATATATATA